ACAAAAATTATTCTTCCTGAACTAAACAAGAATAATAGCATGTGTATGGGTCATCAATCTCAGAACAGTTCTATAGAATTAAAAGCAATGAAATGTGATCCTAATGATGGTAGTAATTCAGATTTAATTTTCAATATAAAACTTGTTGGTGAAAACGAAAAAGAAGATAAGGTGTTTGTAAACAGAGCATTTATTTCGGGTGATTCAACAAACAATCCTAACTTCTTTAATAGACAAATGAAAAAAGAAGAAGCAAGAATAAATAAATAATTAAATTTCATTAATAAAATAATTTGTTTCATTCCCAAACAGGAAATAAATAAAAAATTCAACAGTGAAACATATGATTTTTTTAAAGTTATCCGAAATTTTAGCAAAAGATTATTATACAATAAGTCCTCTTTCAAATACAGGTATGGTACTTGGTATTAACGCAAAACACAGCAGTTTTACTAAAGGAATTACATTGAATGAACTAGACAATGAGTATAAATTTAATATTGATAAAGAAGGTAAAATTAAAAGCTACAGCAATCATTTTCTGTGTTTAGATAGATCAAGTGGCAAATTTAGAGGATGTCATCAAAGAAGTTCAGACAATTCAAGTTTTAAAATTAAGTTTCTTCAACCTCCTTACTCTAAAAATACTGTTATGATTTACTTAGGCGTTGAACCCATTTCACACAATGGTATTTTTGACAGCAACACACAATCTAAAACTTTAAAAATTGGAAATGATTTGAGTCAACCAAAAGATCAAAATATTGATTTTTTATTTGTATTAAAAAAATATAATTCTAATAATAATAATGAACAAGAAATTAATGTAAGAACACTTCCATTATAATATTAATTAAATTTTATTTAATTTTTCTTCTATGTCTTTAATCGTGGTTGTGTCTTTATTTGTAACATCTTCAATTATTTTTGCCGTGTTTTACCCTAGGGATACGACCCGTGATGACATATTGTGTGAAGTAAGACTTAATCTTACTTGTATCTGTTGTGTTGTTAATAGTGTTGTTGTTTACTAATTTATTCATTGAATATTGGGGTTAAAATTTAGAACAAATTTATGATTAAATTTTTTTTAAAAAATTTTTTTTTTAAAACGAATCCTTTGTAGAAACAGAGTTACTACAATTTTATTTATAAAATTTTCAAGAAAAGGATCGTTAACTGATTCACAAATTGAACACAACCCTTTCAATATGTCACAATCTATATTCACTTGTTTACTTAACAGATCAACAAATCTCATTAAAATACTATTTTGAGTTTTATAATAATTTAGATGATCATTAAGCATTTGTTTTTTATCTTGTGTCGATCCTGATTTAAATTCATGAATAAACACATCTTTTTTTCTTAATTCAACTTCAAATCTCCGTTTCTGTGATTGAAGTTTATTTTCAGATAAACTTTTGAATTTTTTTAGTTCGATGTTTTCACGCATTAGTAAATTTAATTTAGCATTTAAATCATTAATCTCTTCATTTTTTTGTAACTGATTTATATTCACCTCACTTATCTTGATCTTTTGATCTTCAATTGTTTTGTTTAAATTCTTTATTTCTTGAATTAATTGATCTTCTCTATTCATTAAAATTTCATTAAAAACTTTTTTAAAAAATTTTAATGAAAAAACATGCAAGCAAGTTATTAGAAAAAACATTAAAAGATTTAGAAAAGTTTGTTCATGAACAAAAACCAATAAGAGACAAAAATAATTTTAAAAAGAAACAACTTCAATTCCTGAAAGGTAACGTAAATAAAGCTAAAATTCCCTTTAAACGTATTTTACTTAAAATTGATAGAAAGAAAAAAAGACGTGCTGACAACATAGAAAAGAAGCATAATATGGGGATTTATAAATAAAATACATTAAAAGTTTTATTTTCAGTTGTAAGTGAGATATTTTGGAGTTGCAGAGAACTTGCTGTATCCCTTGATTACTTTATCAACCGCTTTAAAAAAATCTGCCTCAGTTGCTATTTTTCTACGATCCCTAATAGCAAACATTCCAGCTTCTATACAAACTGATCTAATTTCAGCACCTGTTGCACCACTACACATTCTGGCTAACAACTCATATCTGATATTTTTATCAACACTCATTGCTTTAGCCTTAATTTCAAATATTTTTACACGACCTTCCAAATCAGGTAATCCAAATTCTAATTTTCTATCCAATCTACCTGGTCTTAATAAGGCAGGATCTAAAGTATCT